AAAAAAAAAATGCAGCGATTAATTCAATTCTCTCGGTTTAATCGACTCTAGAGAGTCGGGATTTGTATTGGAAACGTTAAGAAACAAACGGTGAAAAAAAAAAAAAGAGGAAGGAACATGATAATAGTACAAAAATTACTACACTTATCTCCCGTTAGGAAAAAAGATTTCGAGTACAATTTATTTATTCGTCTTATCATGTATTGCCGCTCTCCGCGATTATAACTTACGCTTGAAGATCCACACTCGGAACGTGTCAGCGATATTGTCTACAAGCGAAAGAAGCAACACACTAATCTCCCTCTCCCTCGAGTCTCCCCCGAAACGCAGGGGGTGGGCCTCGTTGTTTCCTCCCCCCCTGATTCGACAAATGCGCATTCCCGAGGCCGGTATCGAGTAATTTCGCGAGCGTTTCGCAAATTACGTGTTCGCGTGCGAAAAGTACGCGGACAGATCGCGGCGACACTTGGAGGAGGAAGGGAGTGGAATCGCGAGGTGGAAGAAGAGGAAGGATGAGTAGAAGAAGAAGAAGAAGAAGAAGAGGATTCACATGGCGAGATAACCGAAGCAACGAAGACAACGCGTTCAGCCATACGATTATTAGGAGTCAGCTGAAGCTGTAGATAGAGCGAGGTCTTCTTTCGTCGTTTAAAATTAAAAAAAAAAAAAAAAGCTCGACTCGCACTCGACAACGTAGAACATAGGTGTTACTCTCCCTTGCCCGCCCCCCCCTCCCCCCTTGTCCAGTCCAGCTCACCCCTGTCCCTGTAATTCTCCCCTTTTGCGCCAATCGCGCCGAGATCACAGTAAGGTTTAACTCCAAAGAAAGATTGTACATTACTGTATTTACACGAGGGCGATCTAGGTACCTACTTTGTTAAATTGTACGACGAGGAGTCGGTGGAGAAGCGCGACGCGGCTCGAGAATCGATACCCGTCGGTGATCCTGGGACGACCATCGTGATCCTGGGGATGAATCTTCGTGACCTTACTACAGTAAATGAAACAGCAGAGATAGAGCGAGAGAAGTCCTTGCGCAGTGAATTTCTTAGACAGTTTTTAAGGGGTGTACAGCACAAGTCGTAGTATTCATCGACGATTTTTGTAAATTGCCAATTCACCAATTTCGCCACACGAATTACGAGATCTGGAAATCATGCGATGTCACTCGCGACCCTCATTGCCGACCTCTTGTCCTTTCTAGCGCGCTGCACTTTTCGAAATGCCGAGAGAACCGATTGACTTACAGTTTCGAGATAGAAGTTAATTGACACCTCGTTTCCGAATCGCGGAAGAAAGGGCATTTTCGGGGGAAAATCATATAATAGCCTACGGGTGTCGGTCTCGAGCGGCGCTGCCACGGACCGAGCACAAATAATAACTGCGTAGCCTTTTCGATTTCGCTTGTCCTTTGCTTTCTCTCGGAGAGGGAAATAAAACGCCCTTCGGACGCTTCGCCGGACGAACTACAAGAGGAGTGAAAGGGTTTTGTACGAATTTTGAGAATGAGAGAGAGAGAGAGAGAGAGAGAGAGAGAGAGAGAGAGATGAAGAACGAAAAGTAAAAGTGCGTGTGAGAGTGAGAGAGAGAGAGAGAGAGATTGTGCGACGCGAGATCATTAGGCCTATAGTGATCACTTAGGTCGAGAGAGATTTTAAATAATTATAAATAGATGTGAGTGCGTGATGTATGTACTCGAATTAACCCATCTCTATCGCACTGTTCTTTAACGACGGATCCCATGGCCAGTCCGGAGACAACTCTTTCTCAACGAAGATGTTCGAGTCACCGATTACTTTCGAAAGACGTACAATATTGGCAGTTGGAAAGTTGCCGATGAAGTTTTCTTTGATTGAGGAGAAAACCTGACTCTAGATCGGTCAGGGAATCCAATGCTAAAAAGCAACGTGGCGGACGTGGGACGGTCGGTGTGGATACATCATTTACTTGCATATATATATAAATATATATATATATATATACATATATTTATGCATATGTATACATAGCCGTGTAGGGAGCGAACGCGGTGAACCCTTTCTTAAATAGCTTCAGGTAGAAGAGAGTCGAGAGTTGCGAGAGAAGACTACTTGAAACGAACGAGCGAGCGAGCGAGAGAGAGAGAGAGAGAGAGAAAGAGCGGAGAGTATCTTTATTACATATTATACATATTATACATATATAAATGAACGAGTAAAAAATAGATATAAATATATACATACGTAAATATTATAAATATAATACGGGATCGGGCAATATTGTACTTGTTAAATTCATCGTTACTGTTTATCACACCGCCTATTGCGAGATTACGTACTTATTTTACGAGTATTATCCCTCTCATCCCCCTTTCTCCCGACCCCTCCCCACCCCCCTTTATCCCGACGATTAAGTCATATCGAATCTGCAGGTTTATGTGATACATTTTAAAACACCTACTCACACAAACGTACACACAAATAATGTATAGATTATAGGCAATTAGGTAGATAGATTACTAAGGATACGACGATTAAAGATAATTATAAAACTAACGGAGTGAAAAGGATGAGGTAAAAAAGTAAGAGTGCGTATGTGCGTTGCGAGAGTGAGAGTGAGAGAGAGAGAGAGAGAGAGAGAGAGAGAGAGAGAGAGAGAGAGAGAGAGAGAGCGAAAGAGAGATCTTACGCGAATGAGAGTAACGACGTGAGGGATGAAGAGCGCGTGAGAAGTGGAGGAAACCCGGAATTTAAGATAAAAATCATGCTCTTTGTAAAAGCGCAGAGTGTTTTGGGGCTGTCGAAAGTGCTTAGCCTCAGTATTGATCAAGCTGAAGGAACGAAAACGTTTGCTTTGAATATAATCTTACGGTTGAAGCAATTCCTAATATTTGAAATTATTTCATTGCAATGAAAATTTCTCGATGAATTTAGTCTCAAGGATAAGATGGAAGAATTTATTTTGCACCAGAATTAGTCCTAGAATTATTATTTAATCATTTTGGATCAAGTTCATTTCAGGATCGAGTCTTAAATAGCTCGTCGATTTATTAGTCGTTTTCGCTTTGGAATATCCAAGATATTCGCTTCGAGACACGTCAGGTAAAAATTGACGAGTCAATAATAACGCGGATGATTATCTGAAATTAGAACGAGACCTTCAGCCGGAGAGACGATCGACAGGTCCGGAGGTACTCTGTATACGAATACGGAAACAAATTCCATATCTCCTAAACGACAATTACGTACCTTGACATAACTAATCGCATCGACAGTTAATAACGTTAAAGGAGATCGAAAGAGCTTCAGCGGAACTGCCGGCAATGTGATATGCGGCCTCATTTGCGACTAGAGGCGTAAAATTTTTGGGAATCGATGCTGTGGCACGAGATCGAATCCAACTTTTACATCCGATCGGCGCCAGAATCTGCACGTTTCAATAATACGCTCTTATATTAACTAAGCAATATTTTTTTCTTTCTTAGTTAATACTTCAAAGTTTCATCGAGACTTTGAAGTATCTGGAAAAAAAAGAAAGAAAAATCTGTAGCACTTTCTCCTCTTCGATCTTTGATCTCGTAGACTTCATGAAATGATAACTGATTCGAAGTACTGATTTCGCGATCGAGCCGTCAGAACTCGTTCCATCGATTGATTCCCGCTTCGGAAATGTGCGTGGAGGTGCGAACCACCTCCTCGTGTACTTATACGAGTGCGAGAGACAAATGTACTTGGGACCACCGTGCAGACGTGCAAGGTGTGATGGAGGGCTTATCTTCGAGGCATTCGTGCAATTCGTACATACAGTAGAACGACGACGAATGTAAGGCTGACGAGGACGAGAATGAGGAGAATCGCGGCGCATGGGAAACGCATTTGTAAATTGTAAAGTTATTGATGTAAGCAGGGAAAAAGACGGGACACGAGACCAGCTTCTCTCTTTTTAGTACCGATTATAATGTCGCTAGATGTTATTTACGATACCGTCGTATTAAAAAAGGAAAAAAAAGTTTTACTCCTCGGCAGTATCATTATAACAAATGCCTGTGTATTTTACTTCTTGGCAAATAATAAACCATTTAAGTATTAAATACGTCGTACCCTTCGATTCCTTCGCTCGGTCTCTCGGGATCCATCGTCTTGTCTAAATCAAAAGAATGAGAAAAGACCTATCAACGCTCCAGATAAGAACTTTGAAATTCAATCACGTTATCGAAGAATTTTTACAGCGTGACGAGTCGTCTTCTCATAAGAATCCGCTTTCCGGTAACGATCTTATACTTGAATCTGTTAGAAGGTACGTGTATTCACAAAAACACATTTTATGCATCTGATATCTAATCTAATCTAAGTAAATATTACGTTGCTATTACGTAACAATAACGGAATTATTCCAAAGAGATTTTGCAAGAATCTTAGGATATAAAAAGGAAAATGAGGCAACGACAATAATGGAATATTTTTAATGTTATTTTCCGGTTATATCACTTACATTAGATTAACTCATTTATGGTAGATAATAAAAACGCAAGCGTTTCAATGCGTAAATTAAGGAAGATTTATTTTATAAATCTACAGACACAATAAATGTGTTATTATATAGCAATCATAATATAAAGAAAAATTGTAAATATTCTTGTGGAACGATTAATTGATTAACTTAATGTAATACTTGTATTAATCTTACATAATGCATTTGCTTTTCTTCTCTTACAATAAAGATTCGCATTTCGCCGAATAATAGAAACGATCTAACCAGAAAGTGCACTTCAAGAAAATATAGAAAATATACATCACAGTACTTAAATTAAACGCGTACACTTATAGGTTTTAAATAAAAATTTCACTTTAATGAAACGTATCTAATGAAATCTAATTGGAATCCAATTTCTCAATGTGCACCAGCTTGGAGACTCTGTCTATTAGATGTGTCAGGTAAGTCTTGTAATTTACAGATGCGACTGACGAACATACATGTTTTATTCTCATTTCATCCTAAAAAACGTAAAAATTATTAGAAAAAATAGTATTAAAAAATAATATGAAATAGCATTGAAAATAAGATTAACTTGGAATATGAATTATACAATAAAAGATAAAATGAACAATTATTGGTGAAAATTAGTAGAAAAAAATTGCAAAAGGAACTTTATTAATAATAAATTGTATTAATTACCTGGAAAACTTCGGATTTCGCCCTCAAAGTGAATATGAACTTCTTGAAGCTCGCCTCGCCGAATTTCTGCAAAAAGGCATCATTATCGTTCTCCTTCAATTCTCCCAACTCTTGTGCTGACATTCCCAATATTTTCTCAGCATCTTCACTAAAGGCTGTTATCCAGCGACTGCCTGTTGCATCCACTATATTCATCTGAAAATGTTATTATAATAATAAACCAAATCAGATATACTTATAAATATAATGAATTAAAAGGATGCGAAAATAATACATACACTTGCCAATAAGCGATAAATGAAATTTGGATAGTCCTTGTTACATTTCTCGCATCTAAAGACTCCAGTAGATTGATCGATTAACTGAAATTTCATTAACTCACATTGAAGCTTGGAAATATGAAATTTTTTTCCTGTAAATATATCGTATACTGTTTACCTTTTTCTTACAACTTTCTACGGGACACGCCTTATAGATAGCATTTTCCACGCGGATCATATTAATAGTCGCCACCACCGTAAACGAATCTGCAAGATTCATTTTCTCTCCCAATCGAGCTTCAGTCGCCTCTTCAAAAGTGTATAATGGCGCGTTGAAATCACCACCTCCACCTGTTTTAGACAATGATTTTATGTTCTCCGAATGGCCAACTGCAGTGTACCATCCGCGCAATCTGAAATATACATTGTAATACATGATATAAATGGTATGTTACTAACCTTATGTAATTATATATCTCCAAACAGAAATTAATAAAAAAAAAATTAACGTTCAAAATTACATAGATAAAAAATAAGGCCATTTATCTCTAGTACGAATAAATTTTAATTATAATTAAAAAGTTAAAAGTATTATCTTAATTAAGAGTCAGTTTGAATATACCTGTGTGCTTCAGGAAGATCAGGATCCTTTTCAAGTACAGAGGAATGTAAAAGAGACAAGTTCTTTCCACCATTAAATTCACCCACGCGCGCTCCTTTAATGGCTATGATCGGATTATTCGAACCATCAAAGTCTTCGGCTTGCTTACCCCATAATGTAACGCATACCTAACAGAAAATTCATTTATTTCTGCCCAAAACAACAAAATTTTAAAATCTGACGTGTCAATACATTACTCACCATCGTACCACTATCATCGACGATATTAATGTCTCTCTTTAAAAGTTCTCGGCCAGTAGTTCGCTGTGTAATTTGTTGTATATCGTTGAAAGTTGTAACGACACCCAATACATCTATTATGCGTGAACATATTATTAAATAATTTTCAAATTACATATAAATCTTTTTTTTTCTCATATAAAATTTAAAATTATTATTTATTATTGTATGTAATAAAACTTTAAAAGCAATTATAAGCTTTTATAAAGCTTTTTTACAAAGCAATTATTAATTGATACTTAAATAATTTTAGAAATAAGAACGAATAAAAACGAATAACAAAATGCAAAATAATATAATATTAACAATTGATAACATATATATATATATGTTAGCCTCAGAAAATTATTAAGGATAAATATAATAACGAAAAAATTATTTCATTGATGAAACTAATGTTTAAGATTTTATAAAACATTAACTGTCATAAGAATATTATATTACCTAATAAGTTATTTTTCTCTTTGCTTTCTATTTGACTTATGGGACAGAAGTCAAACTGTAATGTTGGAATATCATCGCTATTTTCGTGGCAAGGTATGATCTCCGTATCGCCAGTCATAGTCATCTCATAATCATTTTTCAATGTGCAAAATTGTTTGTTCGCTGCTTTCAGTGTGCACCGTGAGATATAATATACATTTCCAGTCTATATAAACAAAACGATTAATAGTTTTTAATCCATCGTAAACAAAATATGCATATCATTGCTAATTTTAGTGCAAAAAAAATATACCTCTATCATGTCGTAGAACTTTTCACACTGATCTCTAAATGCAGTACACCGAATTTCACCACTTTCATCAATCAGATCCATGGAGAAGAGCTTACCTTCTCCGCGGGAATTGCTCCATGTTTTGATCGGAGCTTTATTGGTCACACGAACCTTGATCACCCATCTAAACACATATTATCATTTTTTTTTCTTTAGTATTACACATGTATAAAGTGTATTTCGACATCTAGGAATATGTCTGTTTTCTATACTTGAATTAGTCTACATTTTTGAAATTTTAAATAAATAATATTTAATATTTGGCTAAGGAAAGAAAGTTTTAATGTAGAGTTGAACGCAAGAATAAAAAACAGATTTTCAGAATAAGAAACTGTTTCTCTCTTTCTCTCTCTCACTTGTTTTGGTAAGGGCTTAATGCTGCGATCGGCGTAGTATATATGTCAGAAGAACCTTGATAATTTGAAGTAGCATTTCTGGCTGAACCATCTATAAATAATAAAAATTTTATTACATACCAAAGTATCACAAATCCAAGTTGATTGATAATTTATTCTAAATACAGTTGACACACATCAACAATATTACTTACTTTGGTAATGTGCTGTTGTGGCCTTAGATGTACTTGTAGACGTAGACGTAGATGTAGATTCAGGTTCTGACTTGATTTCTATATTAGTCGGATTACCTATTTTGTGTCCAACTTGATCACCAGAAACCAACACTTCAATACCCAGTATCAACATAACGCGTCTAATAGAATAAAATTTGATGTTCGAATTATTTATAACTTATACTTAAATGCATAAATAAGAAGATGAAACAATACTTTTCTTTGCCGCTGTTGTTCACTGAACTCATGTGATAATTGGTTACTTTACAGATCGCATAATCATTCAAAATGTTCTCTGTAATCAGATTGTTCAGTTGAGTGGCCAACATCGTGAATGAGTTTAATTTCTGTCCATCGGATATCAGTAATCTGAATCGATCAGTAGCAGAACCATCTTTATTAACATTTCTCGGCAGTTTCTTGTAACCCTGCAAAATTACACATTATTTAAGACTCTGTTTCCTAAAAAACACTGCAAGATAGAATTCTTGTAATAGTTAGACCTGTGAAAGAGCTTAACTTTTTGTACATGCGACTGAGTCAATCATATCCCATACATTTATTTTCTTCGAAATATATGTATATGTAAAAATCAATTTTTTTTTTAATGACGAAAATTAACCCAGAATACAAATGACCCGTCACGTATAATAAAAGTTAATTTTTGACAATAAAAATGAGTTTAATATAACAGACACACATCATAACTCATAACACATGTCACATCAGAGTATGACAAACTTTAAATTTCAATCTATAATCCAAATAAAAGCGACAGAA